GGGAGGAGGGAGGAGGAGGAGGGAGAGGGAGGAAGGAGGAAGGAGGAGGGAGGGGAGGGAGAAGGGAGAAAGAGAGAGGAGAGGAGGGAGGAAGGAAGAGAAAGAGGAGAGAGGAGGAGGAGAAGTGGAGGGTATTATCTTGACCAATGAGGTAGTGCTGAGGTGTTTTTCGAAGGCAATAAAATGGGAAAGAGTCACAGAGAAAAGGGTCGTTATAAACAACTCCAGGAGCCTTTTTGCTCGTTTGGTTGGTTTGTCACGAGTCTCTCTATGGCAACGCGAATGGGTGTCGAGACCGTTCTTTGTGTTGCTTTGACTAAGAATGCTGTGACTTTGTTTGTATTTTTTTTGAGAAAGAACTCAGAATTATTCTCTTATTGTCATTCCTTTCGTTTCCTATTATAAGCAGTTTATTTAATAATCATTATTGTCTTGTTTGCAAGACTGGTCATTAGTGTATGGCTAAACTGTATCTTCATTCGCGCTCTACATTTTACATTGTAATTAAACGCAGTAAAGATCCTGATAAAAGCTCTTATTAGTTTGTGTTTTATATGATAAGCTTCGTTCTGGTGGTGAGCTTTGAAGAGAAGACACTGCAATATTGCAATATATCACACATGACAACATTTTCAGTACAACATTATTCTTCGCATTCATAATCTGAACTGTCTATAATATCATTCTGTGAGAGAGTGCTGAATAAAAGAATTTTTATTTCAAGAATGTAAATCTATTGACTAACTTTGTCATTGAGATTGCATAAGTTTGCACAACCGAAGAATTCAGCTTATATAAATATTTGACACCACAAATTTTCTTGACATCGTTTGTTCTAAGTGAGAGAGAGAGAGAGAGAGAGAGAGAGAGAGAGAGAGAGAGAGAGAGAGAGAGAGAGAGAGAGAGAGAGAGAGAGAGTGAGAGAGAGAGAGAGAGAGAGAGAGAGAGAGAGAGAGAGAGAGAGAGAGAGAGAGAGAGAGATAGGAGAGAGAGAGAGAGAGAGAGAGACAGACAGACAGACAGACAGACAGAAAAAGACAAATAGATAGATGAATAGATAGATAGAAGGAGGAGATGGAAGAGGAGGAGGAGGAAGAGGAGCAAGTAGAGGGTATTATGAATATATGTATACATGTATGTATGTATGTTTGTGATTGTGTGTTAATCTATGTACACTATCTATCTATTTATCTATCTATTTATTTACCTATTTATCTATCTGTCTTTCTATTTATCTCTATCTACATTATATATATATATATATATTATAATATATATTATATATATATATATATATATATATATATATATATATATATATATATATATATATATATTATATATATATATATATACATATATATATATATAATACATATATATATATAATATATATATATATATATATATATATATATATATATATATATATATATATATATATATATATATATATATATATATATATACATACATAATACATAGATATATGAATGGGAAAGAGAAAGGGAAAGAAAAAAAGTCAAAGAACGAGAAAAAAAAGAAATTGAAAATACAGCTCAATTAGTAAACCGAGAGATAAAGAGAAAGAAGAAAGGGAAAGAAAGAAAAGGAAAAAGACGGCGAGAGACCAAGTGAAAATCAGAAAGAAAGAAAAAGCTCAACAGATAGACACAGAAGAGACAGAGAGAGAGAGAGAGAGAGAGAGAGAGAGAGAGAGAGAGAGAGAGAGAGAGAGAGAGAGAGAGAGAGAGAGAGAGAGAGAGAGAGAGAGAGAGACAGAGAGAGAGAGAGAGAGAGAGAGAGGACAAGAAAGAGAAAGAGAAAGCTGGGGAAGACGGCCATCCAAGCCGGAAGTTCGTCAGGAGATCTTTAATTATTTTTCTGCTTGGCCACTTCTCGCTGAAACTTTAGGAGGATTGCGAAAGGAGGAGGAGGGAAAGAAGGAAGGAGATGGAATTCTTTATTTCGCACGCACACAGAAACATGCACACACACGCACATGCACGCTCACATGTACTCGCACACATGCACACACACACACATGCACGCTCTCACATGTACTCATACAAACGCACTTATACGGACGCTCTTACACACACGCACACACACACACACACACACGCTCACATATGCACACACACACACAACAAGAACGCACATACCTACACACACACACACCACACACACAAACAGACAGGTATACAAAGACACACACAAATACTTACAAAAAACTACAAATACACTTATTCTCACGTTCACATAGACAAACAAACCAACACACATACACACACACACACACGTCCACACACGTACACTCATGCATTAATTATCTGCCACACTTTGTCTTGTTCAGCCTAATTATTCAACATTAATCTTCATGAGCAGCGTATAAATGACAAATGGCCTTATTAAATAAATTACTAAATATGTTGCACTGGTAAATTGCACAACAGATTTGTATGTCTGTTATCATTATCAGTGTCATCGTTATTATTATCATCATTATTCGTTATTTTATTGGCGTTATTATTCTTATTATCATCATTGTTATCATTATAATTCTTATTATTGGTATTACTATCGTTTTTATCATAATTATTACCATCACCATTATCACTGTCATTATCATTAGTACTGCTACTATTATTATCATAGTTATTATTATTTGTTGTTATTACCATTATTACTATTAATTATTGGTGTTATTCATCTTATTATCATAATTGTTATGATTATAATTCTTATTAATGGTATTGTTATCATTATCATTATCATCATCATCATTATTACCATCATCATTATTACTATCATTATCATTATTACTACTACTGTTATTATCACCATCATCATTGTTTTATCATTATTATAACTGCTATTATCATTACTATCATTATTATAACTGTTTATTATCATTATTATCATCATTGTCATTCTTATCATCATTATTATTATCGTTATAATTATGATTTTTATCATTATCCTTTTTACTGCTATTATGATAATACGAATGCTAATGCTAATAAAAATTATTATCATTATCATTATTTTGTTATCATCATTACTATAATTTCATTATTGTTTATAACAATATTATTGTTATCATAATTATTGTAATTGTTATTATCATTATTATTATTATTATCATTGTTGTTATCAACATTGCCATTATCATTACTATTACCATTATTTTTCATCATTAGATTATCATCATTATTATTATTATCATCATTATCATTGTTATGATTATCATTATTATTATTATTGTTATTATCATTATTTTTATTACTATCATTATTATTATTGTTATTATCATCATCATCATCATCATCTTCATCATCATCATCATTATTATATTTTATTATTATTATTATATTATTATTTATATCATATTATTTATTATTGTTATTATATTATTATTATTATTATTATTATTATTATTATTATTATTGTTATTATTGTTATTTTATCATCATCATCATCATCATCATTATTATTATTATTGTTATTATATCAAAATCATATCAATTATTATTATTGTATTATATTATTACTATTATCATCAATGATAATGATATAATAATTATTATTGTTAATGATGATAAATGATAATGAGGATGATGATGTTCATTATTGTTTTTATTATCATCATCGTTAATACTAATAACATCATTATCTTTACTATTATCATAAATATTATCAGAATTATTACTATTATTTTTATCATTACTTTCAATATAGATATTATTATCACCGTAATCATTATTACTATTATCATTATTACTATAATTATTATTACCATTATCATTATTATTGTTATCATTCTTCTTTTTCTTCTTCTTATCATTATCATCATTATTTTTATTGATATCATCATTATTATCATTATTATTGTTTTTATAATTGTTATTATATCCCTTCCAAACTCCCCTCCTACTCTCTCTCTCTCTCTTCTTCTCTCTTTCTCTTTCTCTCTCTTTTCTCTCTCTCTCTGTGACCCCCCCCTCTCTCTTTCTCTCTCTCTCTCTGACTCCCATCCTTCTCTCTCTCTCTCCATCTTTTCTCTTTCTCTTTCTCTCTCTCTCTCTCTCTTTCTCTCTTTCTCTCTTTCTCTGACTTCCCTCTTCTCTCTCTCTCTGACTCCCCTCCTTGCGACCTATCCTTAACCCTAATCCACATTCAGAAAACTCCACCTAATAATAAAAACGATAAGAAAAAAGCCAAGACACGACACTTGACGATCTTTTTCCCGGAAGATCACTCAGAGACTCTCAAGAACAGGGACTTGGGGATGGGTGGGGTGGGGGGAGGGGATGGGTGTGGGGCTGGGGTGGGAGGTGGGGGGGGGAGGGTTGGGGGTTTGGGGGAGTAGTATGGTGAGGGTGTGTGTTGATATTTTTTTGCGTGTGTGTGTGGGGGGGTGTGGTGTGTGGTGGGGGGGGGGTTGTGTGTGTGTGGGGGGGGGGTGTGTGTGTGTTGTATGTATGTGTGCGTGTATGTGCGTGTGTTTGAAGGTTTGTTTGGATTTATGAGCGTTATTTTTATGTTTATTCGTGTCTCTATTCGTTAGATTATCATTATCTTCTGTTGAGTCTGAAGATCAAGACTCAATTCCCTTATTTCCTTTTCAGAGGGAGATTATGTTTTGGATTTATGAGTATCACATTATGTTTATTTGTGTATTTGTGTATTTATTTGATATGTTTGCTATCATTATTTTTGGATGAATCAGTTTTAAAAATTTTCTATTTATCTATTTATCATTATTATTATATTATTATTCTATTTTAGATCTATTTCGGTTTCCTTTAAAGGGTGTGATAGTTTGTGTCGATTTGTAAGTATAACGTGTCAGTTACATAACTCTTTATTTACTTTTTTCATTATAATTACCATAATTTTTGTTGAGTTTGTCATCGAAAATTTAATGTTTGGTTTCCTTTTGGAGTGAAATATTATGTCCCGACTTCATTTTTGGCGGGAAAATCCAACATACAAACTTCCAGACTTCGCGGCAAAGTCCCTTTTATTTCCCGCAACAAGCAAGCATCTTCTGTATCTTCTTCACTATCTCTACTTGCTACAGTATATCCTGCCTCCTGCCTGGCGATGAAAGCCTGGCAGAAATTTTACGAATTCATGCTGACAAACGTAGAAAAGGTATGAATAAGAATCAATATCTTCACAGTACAAGAGATGTATTGATTTCTGACGAAGATCTATTCGAAACCAGTCAGATACATCTCTTGTATTATGAAGATATTGATTCTCATTCATACCTTTTCTACACAGAGAAATATTACGTTTTGTTTATCTAATGTTTCTTCTGTGTAGAGTTTCGTGTTGAAGATCAT